TATCTGTTTTATTAATGATGAGTTATTTTTAATTGTCTAATTAAGATAAAATTTTGACAATTTTTAGTAGTCTTAACAAATTTAAAAATAGCCATGTTCATGGATATACATTAGCAATAAATTGCATTTGTACCTTGTGAGTCAAAATTTTGATTGCATGCAGTACCATGAAACATCCACCACCATGATCGGTCCAACACCCTGGCAAAATAATTGCTTCCAGCGTCTTGCTTATTTATTTTTCTTAGGGTAGGGCTAACTGAAACGAAATATTTTGGTTAATTGAAAATTTAATCACACAAATGATAGCAGCATAGGAATTTAACAGTTGGTTTGATGCTTCTAACCAATAAAATATGCAATAACTGACAAACTTGTTCATTAGTTGCTTCTTTTATATTGTTCAAAAAATAGCATAGTGGTACCTGCATTCCTTTTCTCCTTGTGATTGATGGTACTGCCGACCAACCTTAGGTTCCTGGTCTTCATGGGGTTAGGTTTCAATCCCATTCCTCTCATTTCACTCCACGTCTTGGCCAACTCTGTGAATCAATTAAACAATCAAAAAAAGGAAAAAAAAGGAAAGAAAAAAAAAAGGAGCAATTTATGATTGATTCCATGCACGCTAAAAAACTAGATGTTTAATGTCGACACATTTCCAGCAACAATTTCCGGCTTCTGGGGCTATATTTTAGATGCTTGATTTGGATCCACCAACTCCTGACGTTGAAGTTTGAAGTTGCTTCGTAACATAGACAATTCTTCAGTAACAGCCTTTCAAGTAATCAATGGTAGTAGGGACGTCCATTCAAGAAGACAACGTTTCTCCCTCCATGCTGTCACCTAACATTGTTTTCTCTCTCCTTGGTATATAACCACCTGTTCTTTCCACCATTCCCATCTCACCAAAATGGCTTCAATGTGTTGGACCTTCATTTTGGTTTGCTTCTGCTTTCAACTAGCCATTACAAATGCACAAGCACCAGCAGCTTCCCCTTCCACTTTGCCAACCACCACACCGCCCCCTTCAACCTCCGTGCCACCACCTGTGACTGCCACAACTGCACCGACACAGCCACCTGTAACTGCAGCTACACCCCCACCTGCAACCACTCCTACATCTTCACCAGCTCCAAAAGTTGCACCAGCTATAAGCCCATCAGTCCCACCCCCTCAAGTTCCACCACCACCAGTGCCACCACAAACTGCTCCAGTACAACCACCGGCATTGCCACCACCTCCGAGTTCACCACCACCACAGGTACCACCTGCACCAGTCCAGGCACCACCTGCACCAGCACCTGCACCACCACCACCAACGCCAGCACCTGCACCACCACCACCACCACCACCAACACCAGCACCTGCACCAATTACTCTGCCACCAGCACCAGCTCCAGCCAAGCACAAGAAGAGAAGGCACAGACACAAGCACAAGCGGCACCATGCACCAGCTCCAGCACCAACTGTCCCAAGCCCCCCATCACCACCTACAGTCCAAGATAAAGAAGACACAACGCCAGCACCTTCACCAAGTCTAGATTTGGTAACATTGCTTAAATGATACTCTCAATTTTGAATATAACCCCAGCACCTATTTCTCACTTCTTTGCATAAAATGAACCTAATTGAATACCACTAATTTCTCTCTAACAGAATGGAGGAGATTCACTGTTTGAAAAAGGAGGAAGGTCTAGCATTTGGGCAAGAACTGGATTAGCTATTGTCATTTTGCTGGCTGTGACAGGCTACAATCTAGAGATCATCTTATAAGAAGATCAATTTTCATGATTCAAGGAGAAGATTATTACCTTCATACACTGTAAGATCATTAAAAATTCATATGGATATATGTCAATTGGACAAAGGATGATGAATCTGAATTTTGTTAACATTTTTTTTATCCTATTCTTTCCAACTGTCATGGTGAGGATAAATTTGATCCATAACCATCTCTATGGAACTATCTAAGAGAAAAATATGAATAATATATTTTCAACATCACCTATCAGGCTTCATCTTTATGAATTTCCTCGTGTAAGTCATACTCAACCACAATTCCAAGATTGTCAACTAATTTGTGATACTGTTCACATCCTGCAGAAAAACCTATAAGAGCATGAAAAATCCAAGGCAAACAAATCACAATGATGAATATTTAACAACTCTGTTATTCATCCAAGAGAAAGAGGGGGGGGGGGGGGGGGGACCTATATTCTCACAGTAAAAAGGTTAAAATAGAATATATACATTTACATAAACAAGTCCGCGTTTATAGGCCAATCGATTGATGAGCCTCCTTGTTCTTTCACGGTTTCACCACACTCATCACAAGTAAATTCAACTAACAAACTTCTTCTAGGCAGTTCTATGTCACTAGTTGCATCCTGCAAAGGGATCATACGAAAGAACGAGAATGTATATGTTACTCTGTCTCTAACAATAGAATCAATTATAAACCACCTTTCCCCAGCCAAGAAGTAAGAAGAATTCTTCCAAAACTTCTTTGATCAATAAATCCATTCGAAGGCCATAAAAGGGGAAAATTGAGTTCCAACAACCCATTTCTTTACCATTATCCCCAAAATGTAAGAATGCTGAAAAATTAATAGAACTACTTTCTTCCAAAAGTTGCAACTACTCTTAAGTTTGGCATAATGCATTAGATTGAGTATTTTCTCCTTTTTGTCATTGAAAGGACGTAAGTTATATAGCAAAGTGCATCCACTCCACCAAAATCCATCATTTGTCAGTAACTCACACAGCTGATTTAACTACTTGCATAAATTCCAAAGTGATTTCTTTTTATTAATCAGAAAAGGGTATATCAAGCAATTTCCTGAAGATAGACAATCCCAACCTTTCCTTTTACGTCCAAAAGCATGTTTAGTTTTGATCATGGACACACCATCACAACCAAATTCATAATTACATTCACAATTTTGATTTCTTCTGGCCATTACACTATTTCCCCCTCTAGACTATATTTAAATCATTACTTCAGTACAAATTATAACCTTGCAATGAAGCAAGGGGTGCAAAGAAACTATAGGAAAATTCTCAGGTTGCACAATTTGGGCATTATGATCTTTCTATTACATTATATAGTGCTTGAAATATACCAAGTTCCTCTAGGCTAGTTGATGATGCGGGTCGGCAACTTTTTTTTTTTTTTTTTAAAGGCATCTGCAAGCAATGTGTCATTTTGGCAACTCAACTTTCATGAATATCAATTGCAAATTACAATCAAATAACAAATTTTGATAACCGTGAAAATTTTAAGCCAAAACCACGAAACCAATATCACATACCCTTTTCAAATCACTCGCTTCTGCTTCTGGTTATGCCCCAGAATCACAAGCAGAAATCGCCCAAGCCCAAGATGCAGGCTTTTGCGCCACTGCAGTTGCATGAGTAAGTTTCAGCCTTTAAAAAGAAAAAGGTTAACCCTTTTGATAATCGAATTCAGTGAAATTTGGAGTTGGAAAAAAGACAACAGAAATCAAGGAGACAGAAAAGAAAGCAAAGAAAACCCCAGAAAGGATTAAGGGTTTTCTCGGTTACTGACCTGGAGAGTTCAAGGGTAGGATTTGGCTTGGACACAGCAACTGGCTTGAAGAAGTTGGCACATAGAAGAGAATTAGTCAATTAGGTGGTTTTCGAGGGGTAAATTTGGGAAAGGGAGGAAGAGTTATGGCGGGAGAGAAGCTGCGTGCGATTGTTGCAGCCATCGATGAATTCCAGAAGCAACTGCAAGGTGAGCGCTTTCACTCACAAATTTTGTTCATTTTCATTCTGGTCCTTTCATACTAGTCCCCCAAGAAAATGACATATGAAAGAAAAGTTATTCTTTTTCTACATTTTTAAGTAATAGCCTTAACTATTTTAATGTTTCATTGTTGTCCCTCCCTTCTAAGTCCTATTGCTGCTATGAAGCCTATGATCATGCATAGAAAGCAGCTGAATTCAATGTTTGTTCAGTTGATTGAATCCCTGATGAATGCATTCACCATCTGCTTCTTCAGATTTCCATTCACCAATCACTATAACAGTGACAAATTCAAAGCTGTAATGGTTTGGTTTCACAGAAATGATTTGTTCTTTCCATGGACGAAAATTGTTAGAAGCCAATCAATCAGCAAAAGGTGAAAATTGAAGAAGGTTGAAAAGGATTTTGGATGCGTTAACTTGATATTAATGCAACTGCATTCGCATAAATTTTCTTTTTATTGTTGAAGGAAATTCTGTGTACAAGTATAAAACCATTGTCCAATGTCCTTGGAACAATAACAAGGATAATAAGGTTCTTCCCGAAGAAAAAATTGTTTCAGATGGAAGAATATCCTTGACCTCGAATTGAATTCTGTGAGCAACCCTTCTGCCAATAGGCATTGTCAGTCTTCCTCATCAACTTCATCAAAGGGAAGTGGAACATTGTCCACTGCTCTGAACTTTCCAGCATTATTTAGATGCTCATTCTCCAACCTGGACCATTGAAACAATTGTGAAATGATGAGGTATGTACAATACAGGTTTGAGACAAATAGTGAAGGGTTTAAATGAAAAAAAATCCATTTTTACCTGTAGAAATTCCATTGTCCTCTTCTAATGACTTCAAGGGCAGCCATAAACAGCTCAGTTACTCCTTTGTCAACATGTTCAAAATCTGAACGGAGAACTGTTTGTAGCCAAGCAAGCCTGAGAATCAGATTCAGTCCCTGCACGTCATAACAAATTCCTTTTCAAAAACCGAATTTTCATTAAGATAATCCCAACAGGAAATAAGATGTGAGCCTAATTTCAGACAGTGTCTACTACATTGTTCTCATCCTTGTCTCCTTAGTTGGAATCTCTTTAGTTCTACTTTTGAAATGGCATTATCAGCACTTAACATTAAGAATATGTTCATTCTCCTCCTTGTGACTTCTTATCTTGAATTCTTGCTCATTTAAAAAAAACGTCCAAAATGGTTGTCCAATCAGAATCAGAGAACATATGCAGGTTCTGTAATCAACCAACTAATTCTGAAAGATTAGGCTTTGCCTACTGGTTAGGAGGAACGTGGAAAAGTGAAGGAAGAAGAGGCAATGACATATACCATGGAGAAGTAGTAAATGATCTTTCGACGAAGCATTAATTTATTCCTTAGCCAGGGATTCTTGGAATTCACTTGAAGCAATCCCCAGTCGTGTACAAAGTCCCAATACAATTGATACACTGTTGCAGCACTTGAGATCACCACAACAAGACACAGCCATCCTCCATTATGTTCTTTCTCATAGGCCACTTTGGCCCCTGCTGCTAGCATTGCTGATACATATTTACCTAGATTCACAAGGTGGCTGGTCTGCCCTTCATCAAACCACCTCCTAGCACACTGCATTTGAAACCAAGCCAATTTTCCATCAGATATATGCATACAACTTGAACAAGACATAATTTGAGACATACTAAACGCAAATTGCGTGAAAAAGGGAGCAAAATTTTACCTGCATGGCCCTGCAGTAGTAAGGCAGAAAGGACACAGCATAAGCAAGGTCTCTATAATGGCCAGCTCTCATGCAATATCCATAATCCTGAGTTTTGTAGCTCCCAGTTATGTAGTAACAAGCAATAAACTCGAGGTGCCTTAGCAATGGTACCTATCCAATAATAAGGGTATTTATTAGTTGAATTCAGCCATCTTTTTCTTGTAGTTTTATAACTAGTAATTAGTAGGTTTTGACTACCTGACTGCAGAGTTGATCTGCCATGACGAAGTCCAGCATCGCAACCTGCAGAAGTAAATAATTGCAAGTGTTAAGGAATTTGTTTCGGAGACCTCTTCTTAATGCAATGGAAAAACAGTACAGTACCTTGTAGAGAGGAGATAAAATTATGTTCCTTATGACACGGAGGAAGCAGTATCTACTTGATCGGTAGAAGATGTTGAAGGGGCAGAAAAGCAACAATAAGAAGACCTGCAAATATGCACAAGGGTGTTAAAAGAAAATTGAAAATGCTAGTAATTTTTATTTTTTTATTTTTCTGCCTTATTGATTGATATGAGGCAAGGTTAGGAACTTACCAGAACCAGAAGGCCCGGGATTGCTTGAACCTGGGCATATTTTGTTATCAGAGACAAATGAATGAACATGACTCCCACAACTGCTGTCATTGAAGTTGCACAAATTAAGAACACGTCTCTGTACTTCAGTTCCGTGGTAGGGCCTAATTCTAGAATGAAGCTGTAATTTATACGAGTTTTTTTCCACATGAAGATGTTGCAGCCATACATAAAGAGGTGGAGGAACAACAGGCCAAACATGCTGCAAAGAGCAAATACAGTCTGATCAGCTGCCTTTTTTTTTTTTTTTTAACAAATCATGCTAATGTTAAGAACCATACATGTTGAAATATGGTTCCAATCATGAAAATTGCTGACACTTGCCTAAGTACAGGATAGACAGTTGCCATATAGATTGTCTCATTTTCCCGCCTTCTATACATCCCAGTTAAATGAGCCATAATAATGTATCCAGCAAGAAGGGCAATGAAGCATCCAGTGAAGAGCCCTGCTCATATTTCCTAAAACATTAGTTCTTATTCACCTGTGATTAATATCAGCCTCCGGAGTTTTGTCTAAGCTAGTCTGGTAAAAGAAGTTTTATTTTACATGATACACCACATATAAAATAAACTATGGTGTTAGATTATGCACAAAGAAAGGTGCTTATCAACAGTCTGCTTTATTAGCTAGGGATGTTTAATTAAAAAAATGGGAAATTAAAAAGTAGTTGGAAATCTTTGTGGAGGGGGATGGCTAGTTTTTTAGAGTAAAACACAGTTGTCCGTCTCAGACTTATAAGTGTCGATGCAGGATGCAACATAGCTTGGTATGACACAATGGAAACTAACTAGTGCTGCTGCTTTTGGGTGTTAATGTGCTACTCAAAAGTTGAATCTGGGTACGGGGAAATTTTGTCTGGAGCAAGATCATGGTCTAATATGGACCTATACTTTATTTCCCACCCAAAAAAGTCTAGTGCCTAATGGGTCCATGCTTTTCCGTCTTTAAAATCCATGTTTTTACAAAGTGAACAGGATTAAGGGTTTCCACTATAATGGTTTGATTAAAGAAAACATTACTTAAAAATGCAGTACCGCCATTTTTTTGAGTGTTGATTCCTAATTTTGCAGGGAACTAACCTATGAAGAAGGTTGCAGCATGTGATTCTTTGTGCTGCTGAGGCCTAAGATACTTCATGGCCTTTCTTCGATCATCATCAGCAAAGTGCTTGATGAAAAGCTCCTCAACTTCATCTGCTAAATTCATTACCTGTCATTTCCAAGACTAATTAACAAAATCTCACTGGTGTTTCAAAGCTGTACTGCAATTTAAGTGTCAGACAAGCATATCCTAGTTCGATCTCTAACGCAGCATAACATAAAATACAGGAAATCAATGGCCACTTGAGATTGTCGGGTGAATATATCAGATGAAAGGATGGATAGTGGAAAACATCTAAACATCCATGCAACTGTTTTCTTTAACATACCTATTAACCTATGCATGACAGACACTAGATATTTTTTCTAGGTAGTTTTTTCAGTTATTTACCTTGTCTGAGCTGTTGAAATATGAACTCTCAACTTCTTTATGGTAAATGGGAAGAACTTGTTTCCCAGTCACCTGAAAGAGGAAAAAACAATACCTTTGTTAGTTATCTGTTGCTTATGTAAAAACCGTAATGCTAGGCCTAAAAGTTGAATTTTACTTGCCTTGTCAAATTTTTTCAGAATTTTTATAAAAGCAAGCATGTTCAAGTGCCTGGAAAAAAAACACAGTGATCAATTAAGATTCTCAATCCTAAATTAGAAATTGGTTGTACTAAATTCCAGAGTTAAGAGAAAATTATACCTGTAAGTTTTGAGATAACTCAATCCTTTATATAATTCAATGATGGCTCCTTCTATCATCTTCCCTGCATGATGCACCTTTGTCTTGTTGAAATGCAGCTTTCTTCCTTCAGGATCACATTTCTTTGAGGACTGATTTATTAAATCTTCCCAAATTAAGTAACTGACAGCCGAGAAGGTACGGGATGGTGTTGTTAGAGGAATATTTAGCCTCAGGTTCTTCCCCTGGATATTGAAAACATGACTTGATATCGACTTTAATCTGCTATCCTCTCTTTTCAATCTCATTGATTTCCCCATCTCATCTGACCTTGGGGAGTCTGAAAATGGCGGCTCATCTGTGCTGCTGTTGTCTTGCAGCTGGTCTTGTTCTTCTTCTGTTCTGTCCTTAACAGAGTCCTCCTCTGTTTCAAAACAAAAGATAGGCATGCCAGTGTTACATTCAACACTTCTAAACTCCAATTAATCAAAACTAGTTATGCCTAAAATGATTCATCTCCCTGAGATAGCATTCCTAACATTAATTATGTCAAAACATTCTTAAAATTTGGAATAACATGTCAAACTTGAAATGCATACTGTTCCCCATTTGATTTTTTTTTACTCAAGACAGGCAAAGATCATATACCACATGAGATTGTGTAAGAGATGGAACCATCATCCTTAGCGTCCTGAGCAGAATCTCCTTTGCCACTCTTTTGCTTGAGGGCTGTTTTGAGCTCAATTAGAATCTCCATCTGTTTCTTCAAGGACTCCCCTCTATCCACAAACTCTTTCTCCTTTGTCTTGTAAAAGTGGTTCACTTTGTTCAGCTGCATGTCCAAACGTGCAAAGAATTCCTTGGCAGCATTAGTATCCTCAAATTGATCTAGCAGTTCTGTCTCATACACGTCACCTATGCTAGCTGAAGATGCAGGCTTCTTATGAACCTGGGATATCCATACATGCCAAAGAGATTAGCATTATATCAGAATGCATAAAAAGTAATGGGGTATTTAGGGGAAGGAACAAGTACATGAATTGCTCCATGATCTCTTTGTTTGGGGTGAAAAATAGAGAACTTCCCGGCTAAGGATATGAGGGTATTGGCTAAAGAAGTATGTTCTTTTTTGGGGGGTGTTGGTGTATTGTTAGCATTAAGGAGATGTTGGATTTTCTTGAGGTCCTTCTTCAGTTGCCAGTAATCGACAAAAGCCTCTTTCCATTCAGGCACAAGCTGCCCCTCAAACTGTTTGGAGAACTTCACCATCTTTCTTCTCTCTTGTCCAAAGTCTTCTGAGAGGAAAGAAAGTGGTGATAGCTAAAGGTGTGAGGAGCCTTGTGAGTGTTCAATGTAAGCTCCTGATGGCATTATTTATGCGGAAGAAAAGGAACCTCATGATGTGCCAGGAGTGAGCATCAGAAACAAATATCCCTTTATACCATATCACCTTTGCACTTGTACCATCCTATGCTTCCCCCCACTTGAAAGGTATACCGGTTAGGCTCGCCGGAAAAATAACCAAACCTCTCTACCGGATCTTATCACTCCTCCCCCAACATATTCTCATGGAGATTTTGAAAGAATTGGGGGGATTTAAAGTGGATGGAAGTGGAGCATAACCTGAATTCAAAAATATGTGTAAAACACTTGTTCCTCCTCAAAGTAAACATTTTTTACTAGTGTTTTCTAAATGAAGTATGCATATCCACTATTGGCTTTAATGTACAAAAACACATAGGTAAATTCTAATTAGACCAGCTTGATCTCCACTAATCGAGATTCCTAGCACACCACTTTGAATAATAAAAGAGATGATTTTCCAATGGATTAACCTTACACAACTTAATCTGCAATCTTTCCACATATCAGTTTAAGACAACGTGAGTTTGGGATGTACCACCAAAATCATTGTCTGAACAACAACAGTTCTTGTTTCTTGGCTTTTCATTTGAGATTAAGGATTGAACAAAAAGTGGATTAAAGCATATTATTTTTTCTTGGAACCATGAAACAAATCAAACTCTAGGAGCACAGATGCCAACTGACTTTGTGCATACGGTTTGGGTATTAGTGGAACTATTCCTTAGGATAAAGCAAACGGATATAATTCCCATTAAGGTATATATATTAAGGATAAGTGTAGAGATGCATGAAGAAATATCTTAAAGGGTACATTTAAGTATTCAGTAAATAAAGGACCTAATAATAGGTCTTGTAGCAGAAGAAGTATCAATTGGTTCTTAGTGAGAAGAGAAGCTGATCCCCACAACTTGGCAATATGATTATATAACTACAAAAGAAAATATCAAAATTTCAAGCCTTTGCTCTGTCCCCTCATTATCCTCTGTTTTTCTCGATCTTGCCCTTATCTTTTTAACTTTCTTCATGCACATGGATTGCAAAATCAACATGAAGGGTTGTGGAAAACTGACAGCGTGCTTAAGGTGGCTGACTCAAAGATGCGCTTGTCCATTTTATCATTCTTCTTGGGATT